CACACGCATGCATACACACACACACACACACACACACACACACACAGACGTGAAGCCTGTAAATATTTGTCTGCACTGAAGCAGTCCAGGTGTTGTTGTTGCAGCTGCAGCGTCTCTAACCACTTCAGCACTTCTACTGGAATAATAAAAATATAGTAATGTCAGTCATTCTTATGAAAATCATAACAATATACTGTCAAATGCACATTCAGGGCATGTCTATCTGTCTATCGTTCTCTATCTCTCTCTCTGTCGCTCTGATCCGTTGATCCTGCTTGCTGGATTGGGTGTGTCCTAAATTAGCGTTGTGCGTTTGGGAGGAGGCCTGTGGGACGTTTAAGCCCTTATTAAAATCCTCCATCACATGAAGTAAAAGGCAAGAGGTGTAGGTGTGTGTGATTATTAATTCCGACACACATTTCATCAGGATCAGATTAGGGACTAGTAGACTAGTCATTCAACAACAGACTTGTTGATCAGTAACTATTGAGTTTTTTGGGATTTGACTTCTTCAGCATTTATTTTAGCTTTGATATTTACAGGTGTCATTTCTGAATTACATTCAGTTTGAGTGAGTCAACTGTGACCTGTTTGGCCAACCAATGGCAGACGAGGGGAGTGTTTGAACTGTTCAGGTTGCTAACATGTTGTGATTAAAGTACACTTAATTTTAGTTATCATAATTGCTGTTATTGTTATTTGTTACTAATATGACATTGTATTCAATGGACCCTTTTCACAGACTGACGTTTTTCCACAGTTAATAACATTGTAAATCTAGCTAAGTTTTTTATATTTTCATTTTTTTTTTAATGATGTACATTTTATAACACTATACTTTGTTTTATATTACCTTGGCATTTTTTTTTTTTTTTTTTGTCAGAAAACCGTTTGTGTGGGTGTTTCTAATTCAACGGCAAATTTGACATCTTTCTCATATCTGACCAACAATCTCTCTCTCTATATTTGTTTCCTCATTCGGAAAGTCATAGAAATGCTGCCGTGGATTATTATTTTTTTGGCAGTGGCTATTTGCATATTAGTGCAAATAGCAATAGATTCTATATTACACAGGATTTTCTGCTTACTTATTGCAAATACTGGCAATTATTTGCACCTCAGTATTGTAAATTATAAAACATTATGCAATAATGATGTATTGAGTGTAAATTTATAATTTTAATTCAAATTATTAAATGGATGCCACCTTATTAGGACAAAAAGCCCTCCCTAGACCTACCCTAACACTACCTGATACTTTATTTTAAACTTTTCGATTATTTCCTTCATTTTTATTGAAAATAAATGCCTTTCTGATGTGATATGAAATTTGAAAAGGGCGAAAAAAAATTTTTTTGCAAAAGGCGGATTCAAACTTGGGTCGATCACGTCAAAAAGACTATGCCACACGTTTTATCATTATGCCACTAGAGTTGATATGAATTCACTGAATTCAATGATGAACTGCCTTTAACTGAAAATGTAGTGTTTACTGTTGTTATTTTGCATTATTGACACACTGTTTTTCCTATTTAAAGGGGTGGTTGATTGCGATTTCACTTTTTTAACTTTAGTTAGAGTGTAATGTTGCTGTTTGAGCATAAACAATATGCTGTAAAGTAACGGCGCTGAAAGTTCAATGGAAACAGAGATATTGTCTTTTAAAGAAAAGTCTGTTTAATGCCTACAATTACGTCTGGAGCTTCTTCCCGGGTTGGTGACATCACAAACCCTGCAATTAACATAAACCCTGCCCCTGGGAACATGCAACAAAGAGGGCGAGGCTATGTTGCACGGCTTTAGGTAATGGTAAGGGGTTTGACGTTTCCGGACAACATGCAATACACGGTTAACGAATCACAATACACTGGGCCAGCTAACCAATCAGAGCCCATTGTGTATTTAGGAGGGAGTGGTATCATAGAAACAGGAAGTCAACCGGCCGTTCAAATTACAATGGAGACAGCGGCGTAGAATAAAGCTAAAATATATGAAAAATTAGGCCTTTTTTTTAAACGAAGCATTAAAGGGTTAGTTCACCTAAAAATGAAAATTCTGTCATTAATTACTCACCCTCATGTCGTTCCAAACCCGTAAGACCTTCATCCTTGGAACACACATTAAGATATTTCTGATGAAATCCGAGAGCTCTCTGACCCTGCATAGACAGCAACGCAACTGTAATGTTCCCAGACCCTAGAAACGTAGCAAGGACATCGTTAAAACAGTCCATGTGACATCAGAGGCTCAACTTCAGTTTTGCGAAGCTACGAGAATACTTTTTGTGCACAAATAAAACAAAAA